TTTTTTCATCCTTTTACCAGATTTCTGGTGTTTCAGTAATCATGCCCAGTTGGATTAATGTCACAGCTGCTGTAGTTCTCACTAGGTTACAACATATGCATAATCCCAGGTGTTCTTCAGCACATGTTGGTGTGCTGTGTTCACATGCACACAAAGTCTGATGCTTCAGGGAAACATTTGCACTGTGTGAATGACACGGTTGCTGAGTGCTTGAACAGTTGGTCAGAGACTTTCTGTAAGCATTAGACTCTCTGACCATTCACTATGCAATGTGTAGGTACATGTTTTTGTCTAGGAAACCAGGAATAAAATTATATAGGGAAAGTAATTTCAGCCAGATTCTCATATTTCACGTTTTGCCACTGCTTCAAACAGTATTTGCTAATCACAAAACTACAGGTGTTTGCACACAGTTGTGAGAGAAAACCCATGTTCTAAGTTTTCATCTGTTGTGACTGCACTCAAAATACATTCAGTTTTCTCAAATGAGGCTATATGACAAAAAAGTTGAGAAATAACTGGTGTGTATTAGCTGCCATGTGAAATTCTGTGTAGACAGACAGGGTGATTTTGGAGGAAGTTTAGAAAGGCAGTTTATGAAGTTTTTCTTTTATGTTCTGTTCCACATTCGATATTCTTATTACTGGGAATGGAACAATGGTTATGACCTGTGACAGATGAATCAGTGCTTTCTTTCTACCAAACACCAGAAAATATTTCCTCTTTCTGAAGTAAAAATTCATGGCTGTGCTGGAAAATAGATTTATGTTTTTAAAGACCAAGTAATGACACGTACTCTGCTGGAAAATAGATTTGTGTTTTTAAAGACCAAGTAATGACACGTGAGACACTGGACAGCAGGAGGAATTGTTAGGCATCAGACTAAAGAGCAGATATCAACCTGAATAAAAGATTGGAGATAGCCATCCACAAACCAAGGGAGAAGAGAAATCCAATAGGGGATTGGCAGTTTCTAGCCAAGGTAAGCAGGACTACCAAGCAACATTCTTCACACTTGGAGACTGTCACAGTTAGAGAGAAGAGAAATAAGAAAATTCACAGACAAGAGAAAGCAGGACCAAGCCAACACCGCATTCTTCATGTAAACAGCAGATCACCCTTAAAGCTATTGCAAGGGAACAAAGATGTCTACCTATATTTGACTGCTGCTGAAACCTTAAAACAATCAAGTTTATTCATGAAAAAAATCTAACAGTCCATTAAGACTACAGGGATGTTCTTTTAAGATGAGTTGTAAGAAGACTATGGAAGATTGAGGAAGTGCAGCTACTTTAGTAGTGAAAAGATGAGTCTAAACGTGTTTTAAGGGAAGAATTTGAGTCATCTGAAGGTACTGAAAGAATATTTAAATCGTTATCCTAGAGACCATATCAAGCCAATAGAATGCTACTTTGTGCTAGTCACCCTCCTTCTTGGATATTTTGGCAAGCTATAGATTGGGATTGCTTCTGAACTAAGTGAGGATGGTGGTGCCTATAGGGTGGGCACTCATGCAACTACTCATGATATACCTTCTAAAATACTTCAGATATTTCAAAAGATTCAAAATATGTACAAGTGAAAAAGATGCAACCGTTTATTCCTGGTCATTCTTCCTTTGCAAATGAAGAAAGATAAAAGATAATTTACTGTGGAAATTACTTGCTGCTATTGTAGAAGTTAGTTTTCTGATTTTGTGAGTGATATAAAGAATTTGGCTCTGTGGAACGTCATTATTTCCGTGTAAAGAAGGCCTAGAAGTTTGAACGGCCTCATCACCTTGAGAGTTGAGGCCAGTCTTTTATTATGAGGCTAATGAGACCTCTGAGGAGATTATTAAAGTAATGAAAAAAGTAAGAACAAGGGAAAAGAAGCAGACAAAGTCATGCTGTGGAAGAAGAAAATCCAGCAAATTAATAATTCATATTAACTTTAAATGTTTACATTGTGCACATGCCAAACTGAAATAGTTACCTCAATTCTTATAATAGTCAAGGAAGAGGAATAAGTAATTTACTGTGTTTCATCTCTCTTAATTTGGATGTTTATGCAAAGATAAGACCCTGGCGATATTTTCTGGTCTCCTTTGGCTATAGGGGGAGTGCAAATTCAAAGGTCAGATCTGCACATCTATGCTGTAGGTATCTCTCTTTAATGGGGTGAATATCATCCCAAGGCAGTGGAGAACATTT